AGAGAGAGAGAGAGAGAGAGAGAGAGAGAGAGAGAGAGAGAGAGAGATCTGAGATCTGAACTTGGGGACACTCGGAACATTGCCCTGCTCTGGTATTTCGGGCAAAGACCTGCTTTTGGACATTGTATTGAGACTGGGCTTCAGGGACATTCGGGACTGGCGACATTGACGACTTGGTCTCTCGCCCCTCTCTTCCCCCTCCGTCTCCCTCTCCCTCCTACATCGTCCGAGGATGATCAGGGTACAGTGCCCCTTCCTTGTATGTTGCACTGCCCCCTTCTCACTGTGTGATGCATGTATGAGTGTGCATTGTCCATTCTGATATTGCTGTGTCAGATGTATGTTCAGTCTTCCGCTGCGTCTCTTGCTTTGAGTCGACTCCTTGGATCTGCGCCATACTTGTCATGTTTGGATGTTTATGCGACAATCATCCAAGTAAACAACTACGAATTTATCTATCCATTCGCAAAAGAGATCGTTCATGCATCTTTGAAAGGTAGAAGGTGCATTTGTCAGACCAAATGGCATGACCACAAATTTGTAGTGGCCATAGCGAGTTCTAAAAGCCGTCTTGTGACGCTCTTCAGGCTGTACCTCTATTGGATAGTAGTGCGACTTCAAGCCAATCTTGGAAAAATACTTGCATCCCTACACCCTATCCAACAGATCATCAATTTTAGGCAAAGGTTCGACGTTTTTCACCGTAATTGCGTTCAAACCCCTGTAGCCGATGCACATGCGCAGTTCGCCCTCCTTTTTAGGCACGAACAGGACTGGTGCACCATACGGTGAGGAGCTGGGCTTAATCCACCCCTTTTCTATCAATTCATCAAGCTGCCTGCGCAACTCATTGAGTTCTTTGGGAAACATTCGATAAATGGGCCCCTTGGAAGTTTTGCTATCGGGCTCTATCTCTATCCGTTGCTTGATTTCCCTCTCCACTACTCCTGTCGGGGTCTCTCCCACAGCAGTGAACTCTTTCAACAGTTTTTCAACTGCAGAAGGCGGCTCCTTCTTGCCTTCACTAACCGGTCTAACGTACGCTACGAAGATTTGGTCAACCAAATTGGCCTTCACCACGTGCCTGGCGAACGCAGGGGCACTCATACAGCAAAGGGAGAAACTGGACTCCACTCCAGACTCAATGAAACAACCGCATTTTCTTTTTGCCTCCTTCAGGGCTGGGCAGCCAGCATTCATGCTCGCCCATCTTCACATCAGCCCTCCCCGCCTCTCCCCAATCTGTCCCTAGGATCAAGTCGAAAGGTAGGCTGTCCTCCACTAAAAGAGTCAGGGAGTGCAGAACTTTCTCTACCTTGTTCCCCCCCTCCAACCGGAAGTATGCCTTTACCCTTTCGGTGTACTCTTCTACTCTCATTTCATGATTGTCTCCCAGCCTGCTCACGACCGGCTTTGTCCAATTTCATAACCTTTATGCAGAGGTGCATCTTTGGCAATCCCCTTCGGCTAATGTAGCTACGCGTACTACTAGCTCCCTACTAATTTCTACATCTGCTTCTTCATTTCGGCCCAAGCTTGGCGACGAGTGATCAGCTCATCACCGATGCCTGCGAGGGAACGACCCAAAGAGACCCTAGCACAAGCAGTTTCTGGACAGCTAACTCGGTGGTGGCCTACGTCAGTCTCTGCCATAGGGGCCTTCAGACAGGAGGGTGTTTGTTCAGCTCGCACTTCTGTTTGTCTGTCTGTGTCCAAAGGCTCAGCAGGAGCAACCGCAACTCCTACTAGCTGCTCCCTTTTGGGTAGCGGTGGTCAGGGCAAAAGCAGACAATATGGTTGGGATCACCACATTTCAGGCACTGGTCGGCCTTGAGCCTTAGCTCCTACAACGTTTTCTCGATGCCCATCTCTTTCCATGGCTCCCCGTCGGCAATCCCTGGATGTGCTGGCCATGGTTTGCGACCTCTACCTCTTCCACCTGTGGAGGAGGAACCACGTCCACCTTGCAGGGAACCATAACCCCTACCTCCCGCGTAATAGCTACCTGCGCTACTACTCCCCTGGGTGCCACATCCTCTTCCTCCACCTCTTCCTCGGCCTCCTCTTCCTCCTTGTCGCCCTCCCCCACGGGCTGCAGCAGCCGAATAGTCCCCTCCCTGGGCTGCAGCAGCCGAATAGTCCCCTCCCTGGGCTGCCCCGTTGCTGTTCGGGTCTTCCAGTCCATAATCTATGTTTTCATAGGGCAGTTCCTCAACTCCACCGCCCTCAAATGTGACCAGAAGGCCATCCTTTCGCTCTTTGCTACCAGATATCGTCTTGTTCTTCCAGCGACCTCCTTTCTGTAAGTCCTTCCAATAATATCAATTGTTTGTCTCTTGGAGGAAGCCGGTGTGGTCTACGACCACCTTACTAAATTTGGCAAGGGGGGGGGGGGGGGTCCACACTCTGCAAGAGGAGCCCAAATCCGGGCTGTTTTCTTTTTTTGAGTGCTGGCTGTCAAGGGGGGCAAAAAGGGAGTATAAATGAATTTAAAAGGGGCTAAAGGGGTTTAAGGGGGAGTGCCTTAGAGTGATTTGGTTATTTTCTTTTTTATCTTCAGTTCTGTGAGGAATTCTGATGTGATCCTCAGCCAAAAGTTATTTGTATTGCAAATTTGCAATTCTACACAACATATTTTTTTTTCAGATTTTTTTGGGATTTTATTTTTTTAACCGCTGTGGCTGCCTGGACCCATGCCCAGGGGTCATCTTTGGCCGGTCACCCGGTCGCCAAACCGGGCGTGACGTCGGGACCCGGGCGTAGGCCCATTGAAGTAGGTAGACTTCGATGAGGTGGTGGGGTGGGGAGGGTGGGAGGGGAGGGAGACGGGGGAGGGGGGAGTATCACGCTGGCAAAAGGACAAACTTTGCTTACGAGTCGGGGATTACTACTATTGAATGCGAGGCAGGATAAATAGGGCACTGCGAGCTTGGGAAGGGCGGACTGCCCGAAGGAACTAAATGCAAGGCGAGGTTTTGGATGGTGACAGTGGAAAGATCAGGGGAAAGACCGGGAGTAAGACTAGGAAGACTCTTATCGAAGCTAGGAGGGCATATGTAGGAAGGAGGAGATTAGTACTAGTGATCAGGGTTGTCGAGCCCCGGCCCCGGGGCCCCGGCGGGGGTGCGGGGGTCCGGGGGTGGGCATTCCTGACCCCTGCTCCAGACCCCCCCCCAAAAAAAAAAATCACAAAACAAAATAAAATAAAATACAGGGGGGCGCGCAGCGGCAGCCTGCACCCCCTGGGCCAAACTGCAATAATGCAGTTTTGGCCCCACCTCGGGCCCCCCCTGGGGCTACACCCACCCCTGGTGAGCCCGGGGTGGCCCTGGGCACGGGGCTGGCGGCAGGGCTGAGCGGGCTGCGGGGCCGGGGATGGCTGGGAGTGGGGCCGGGGGTGCGGGGCCGGGGCCAGGGGCGGGGCCGGGGCCAGAGGCGAGGGTGGGGG